CGCATCTGGCGCGCTCGGCGTGCTGGGCACGCGTGGCCCCAGGGGTGCCTGGCGCACCTGGCGCACGTGGCGCGCCTGGCACGCGTGGCGCACCTCGCCTCAGCATCGCGCACATGGGGTCTGTTTTTGGAACCCAGTAGCTGTCCGGCCATAGACGACCGCTGAACACGTCGAGGCTCGGGTGCTACTCCTGCGTTGGGAGGGCGGGTGGAGAGAGCCAGACAGCTTGCGGGCGCGGAGGATGCCGTGATCACTGTTCCTTGTCAATATACACCCCCTCCCCCACCAGGCCGGCAGCCAACCCGGAACAAGGAGGACACCATGAGGTCCCCCCCACCATCCCTGTCAAAAAACAACACAAAACGCACTCTGCCTCTACATTTGAAGTATGCGCGGCCGCCCCGCGACCATTTTGCATTGACATTTTCCAGGGACGGCTGGGGTGCCAGCAAATCCCACCTGCCTTCTGGGCGAAGGTGGTCGACCGACCAGTTTGACAAATCAGTGGCTGCTGCCTTTCCACCTTATCGTTTCCGATGGGCTTGCGAAACCTCCAAATGGCGGCAAAATTGGCCAAGAAAGCTTACAGCCGGGCCCGAGAGGCTTCAAACCAGCCCCAAGAACGTCCCAAGTTGGCGCCAAGAGGGCTCCAAGAGGCGGTTGAGGGCCCCGGAGGGGGAGGCCTCCAGGTGGATGGCCCAAGCGAGCTCCAAGCCGGGCCCACGAGGCCTCCAAGACGGCCCCAAGAGCGCCCCAAGGTGGCCCAAAAAGGGCCTCGAGGGGCTGTTTTGAAGGCCCCTGAAGGGGGGGGCGAGCCCCAAATAGGCGGGGGCTGAACGTTCCCCCCCTTGTGTTTGACCGATTGCCTCCAAGATGGCCCTCAGAGGCACGAGGGCCCCAAGAGTGATGGCCCAAGAGACGACCGGAAACTCCGACCACGAGGCCGCAGTGTCGAAATCCGACAAAGCTCTTACAAGCCAGCGGTTGCGAAAATTCGCTCGCATAAAACAAACGGAACCCAAGAAGAACGGTAACTGGACTCCAGGGGTGCACGGTTTCCCCCCGGGGCCGTAGGCGACCCGAGGGGGAGGAGGAGGGGGAGGAGGAGGTGGAGGAGGGGGAAGGGGAGGAGGAGATGGAGGAGGAGGAGGAGGAGGAGGGGAGGGGGGGGGGAGGAGGAGGAGGAGGAGGAGGAGGATGAGGATGAGGATGAGGATGAGGATGAGGATGAGGATGAGGATGAGGATGAGGATGAGGAAGAGGATGAGGATGATGATGATGAGGAGGAGGAGGAGAGGAGGAGGAGGAGGGAGGAGGAGGAGGAGGAGGAGGCGCCCAGGTGCGTCCAGATACCAGAGTAGGAGGGAGGAGGCGCCCAGAGGAGGAGGCGCCAGCAAACGAACGGAACTCCAGGGGCGCCAGCAAGGAAGGGTTCTCAGCCGGACTCGTTACTGTTGACGGGCCCGAGGAGCACAGGGCCGCCGAGGAGCCCCGTGGCTCCTGCGGCGCTCCTGCGCGATATTCTGACGCCCAGTTGTCACTTACATGGGTGACGCCCCAAAAATACCTTTAAAGAGTCAAAATGAATCAAAAAATCGTATCCAGACTATCTTTTAATTAATTCTGAATGTTCCTCCTGTAGAGGGACACGCCCGACTTAACCTTATCGCTGCCCCTAAACTGCGCGGCCAGTCTTCGGGGGCGCGCAAACATGAATTAGCGATCCATGGATTTGGCGCGCGGTCGCCAAATTCATGGATCGGAGGGGGGGGCCCTCCCCAAAATGCGGCCGGCGCCGCCTCGCTCGGCGGCGGAAATCCGCGATGTCCAACGGAAACGGGAAAAGTCGCTGATCCACGCCCCCCTGATCCGTGTTTGCGATCGCCTGGATACAGTGGAGGCCAGTCCACAAAAAGCCTTCCACAAGAAACCCAACCCTGAGACCCCAGGACGTCCATTGAAATTTGGTGTGGAAGCGTCAGGCCTTCCACCACAAAACCATTGAAACCCAAGAAACCCAGGGCACCCGTGGAGGCAAGCAGGGTGCTTCTTGGCACGGGTCTCCACTGTATGTGCTGGGAGGGCGGGTGGGAGTGAGCAAGACGGCTTGCGGTCGGGCGGGTAGCTTGACCCCTCCCCCTACCCCCTCCCCGTGGACCTGGACGGGCTGGGCCGCGGGTCGTCAGAGCGTCCACGATGGCCTCGGCGAGAAGGCCGAACTCACTGATTTTACTTAGGCTGTGGCCACAGTTTGGTCTCCTGGGGGGGGGGGGCCCTAATTTTGATTACGGAGCCCCCCTCCCATGATCGATCTCCTCCAAGATGTCCCCAAGATGCCAAGGGTGCCTGAGGATGGCCCGAAGCGGTGCGGAGGACACCCCAAGAGGCCCCCAAAGCCTCCAAGATGCCTCCAAGATGCCCCCAAGAGGCCCCCAAGAGACCCCCCAGACGCGCCAAGAGGCCCCCCAGAGGCACCCAAGACGCCCCAGAGAGGCCTCGTCGAGAAGGTCAAAATCATTGTTCCCCAGTTGGGCGTGCCTGAGGGGTTCCTCCTTGGTTAATGGGTGGTGCCTCGGGAAGCTACTTTGCCCGTTCCACGGAAGTTCCCCAAGTTCCCCGGGTTCCCCGGGCTCCCCAAATTCCACTGGTTCCCCGGTTCCCGAGGTTCGCCTGGTTCCCCTGGTTCCGCGATTTCCCCAGGTTCCCCGGGTTCCTCGGGTTCCCCGCCCTCGATGCCTCGTATTCTTTTTGTGCCCGTTCCAAGCAATGCCAAGCCATGCCAAGCAATACCAAGCAAGGCCAAGCAATGCCAAGCGCTGCCAAGCACTGCCAAGCAAGGCCAAGCAATGCCAAGCAATGTCAAGCAATGCCAAGCAATGCAACAGGAAGCTTTCCCCTAATTGAGGCTGCGCTGGGCTCATTCCACAATTAGGCTTGCCTGAGGGGTTCTGACTTGGTTAAGAAGAATGGTGCCTCGGGAAGGGAGGGGGGGGGGGGAGGCACTTCGCGTTCCTCGGGTTCCTCGGGTTCCTCGGGTTCCCTCGGGTTCCTCGGGTTCCTCGGCAGTGCCAAGCACTGACAAGAAATGCCAAGCAATGCGAAGCAATACGAAGCAATGCCAAGCAAGGCCAAGCAATGCCAAGCAATGCGAAGCAATGCCAAGCAATGCCAAGCAATGCCAAGAACTGCGCCCATGCAGTAGGAAGCTTTCACCTAATTGGGGTCGCGCTGGGTGCACCGAGACGGCGCGCGGCGAGGAGTGGGGCGGACAAAAAAACCCTGGACTGGGGCCTCTCACGTCTCTTGTACGGTTAGCCCGTATGATCAGGACGCACGATAAAGATTCCAGGGCTTGCAGGGCCACGCCGACACTCTGCGAGCGGGGCGCGGCCAGCGAAAGCGGCCAAGGACGGGTCGAAGGGGAAGGATGCAAGGGCAACCTTGGAAAACAAGCTTATCCTGACTACTGAGGGGCAACGTTAAGGGGGGGACTGGCACAGGGAGGATGCATCGACCTGGGATCGGCGACACACCGCCGATGGATCGGCCATGGGCCCCCGATATATAAAGGGAAATTAGGACACACAAATAAATACACACAAATAAAAATAGTCCCCATATTTTCCAATATTTTCTGGGTTTTTGTCTTCCCCCCCAATTCCCATATTTTCCCATATTTTCCTGGGAATCGAGGATTAATTGTGTCTGTGTGTTTTTTTCCCTCCTGAATATAGTGAATCCGCACCTTCCGGTGCAGGTGGGGGAGATCGGGCCCCTGCCGGCGATCAGTGGGCGATTGGGGGTCGATGCATCCCCCCGTCTATCCCCCCCCGATCGTCGCCCCTGGCGTGCGCGCCCAACCGCGCACGGCAGACTCGCGTCGTGCCGACCTCGGCGACGCCGCGGGGCCCCTTGCAGCCTTGAACGATCGGCCGTTTCCGAGAAATCAGATCGTTCAACGGCGACCACCTGTTCCCCCCTTATCGTTGGGTCAGGCATGTCCCCCCTACAGGCGGATCTTGGACGAAAGATGCAAAAAATACTCCATAAACACCCTACAATGGCCAAAAAAGCTTCAAACAAATCGTCCCCAGACTACTTTTTGACTAACTTCGAAAAATATTCCTCCTGTAGAGGGACACGCCCGCCTTGACCCTATCGCTGCTTCCAAACTGCGCGGCCAGCCTGGTCAGCCCTTTCGGCCGCGCGGCGCCGTCCGTCGGCGCCGCCCGCCGCCCGCCGCTCGCCCCCGGCCTGTGGCCCCCCGCCGGCCGCTGTGCACTCCTGCGCATTGTGCTGCAGTGCTCTGCACTGCGCTGCACTGCACTGCTTTGCACGGCGTTGCACTGCTTTGCATTGCTTTGCAGTGCTTTGCATTGCCTGGCATTGCTCCGCATCGCCCCGCATTGCTCCGCATTGCCTCGCATTCCTTCGCATTGATTTGCATTGCTTTGCACTGCATTGCACCGCGTTGCTTTGCATTGCTTGTATTTGCTATGCATTGCCTTCTGAATTGATTAGCACGGATTTGCATTGTTCTGCATCGGTTTGCATTGCCTTGCGATGCGCTGCAGTGCGTTGCTTTGCTTTGCATTGCATTGCTTTGCCTCGCCTTGCATTGATTTGCCTTGTTCTGCATTGCTTCCCATTGCTTTGCAACGCATTGCATTGTTTTGCATAGCTTTGCAGTGCTTTGCATGTCCATGCATTGGTTTGCACAACGTGCGTTGCACATCGTGAATCCCACCACCCAAAACGCACCACATTGGTTGCACCACCTAGATTGTACCGCATAGGTTGCAAGAAAGAGAGAGGAGGAGGAGGAGGAGGAGGAGGAGGAGGAGGAGGAGGAGGAGGAGGAGGAGGAGAAAGGGGAGGAGGAGGAGGAGGAGGAGGAGGAGGAGCGGGAGCAGGAGGTGGAGGAGGAGGGGGAGCAGGAGGAGAGAGAGAGAGAGAGAACAAACAAAAAAAACAGCACGGCGCACGAGGCGGGGCCTCGCCTGCACAAGCGGCTCTCCACGGTCTTGAAAGTCTCTATCTGTGCCCCGCGCGCGCGCGCTCGCGTGGGCGCGCGCGCGCCCCGGCGGACCGAAGCCCGAGGGATAACAGTGTGACGCAAAGAGATATACGAGTACTGTGTGTGTTCCCCCCTGGAGGCGCGCGCCCGACCCGAGCAGATAGCAGACCCGTCCTGTAGCAGATCGTTTCCCGAGCGGTGTGGCCAGGAAGCGCCCGCCACGACGCATGCACTATGAATTTCTCGGCGCGCGCGTCGCCCCTGGGGGGGTGGCGACGCACACATTAATCAATATGTTGGGGTGGCGCCGAGGCAAGGAAGTCGGCCACACGCAAAAGTGGCCCTTGGTAAGAGTGGCGTTTGGTGCGCGGTGTAAGGGGGCGCAGGGTAGCCAAATCCAGGCGGGCAGGCAGCCACTATCGCATCGCGCTCAACGTTCGGGGGGGGAGCCCAGAGAGCCCGCACCAGAGGTCACTCCGGCGAAGGGTCACTCTTACTTACGTTAGTCGAGTAAGGTGCTGTTCTGATTCTTGGATTGTCACCCGGTCTAGAGAAGAGGGGAGAGGAAGGCACCGAGGACCTCAGAACGCTTCCCCACGCGTTGGACAAATCCCAAGATGGCCACAGTACCCTGAACATACAGTCCAGGGCCCAAAGAGCTGCCAACAAAAATCGTGGGTGGACATAAACATTTGAAACAAGACACTGTTTGAGCGTCTCGGCTTTGCTACGCTAGAGAGCTCAAGATGGCTAGCGGGCCGCGCTGGACAGCGCCAAACCGGCCCAGGGGGCTCCTCAAAGGGCTCGAAGGCGCCCTCAAGTCGGACCCACGATGGTCTCAATCCAGCCCAAGACGGACCCGATACGCTCCACAATATAGGCCCGCGAATAGCTCCACTTCCCTCGCCTAAGCGGCTCCAAGACTCGAAAAGGCTTGTGCTCTGGTGGTGATCTGTTCTGCGCGTCAGATCGTCATCCAATGAAGAGTGGCATCGAGAAGGAGGGAATAAAGTAGGCGAGGAGGAGAAGTCGCCCGTCAAGATGGCCACAGGGAGCAGCTTTGCGACACCTTGGGGCACTCTACTATCCAGAACATCAGTCCATTCTCTATGTGTTCGGCTCGGTGTGGGTCAGTCTCTTGGAATTAGTGTGTCACCTTCGGGCCGTCTTGAGAGTCCTCGGGGAAGATTTGGTTGGCTCAGGGCAGTCTCGGAGCCTCTTGGGGGCCGTGCAGGGCGTCCCCAAGGCCGTTCGGAGGCCAGCCAGTTGCGGACCACAGTCCAAGCAACGTGCTAATTTCAAAACGAATAAAAGGGGGGAAGAGAAAGAGAAGCAAGCGGAGGAAGACAAGCAGGAATTGCACCCCAACCGAACGCATGGCACAGGACACCAAAAAGACATTCCCAAAGTGGCACTCAAGAGAGCCCCAAAAGGCTTCCAAGGGGCCCCCAACTCGCAAGAGGCGTTATCCGAGGGAGAAGATGGCAGGCTGGCGCCAACGAGACGGGACCATTGCGTGACGAAGCCTCATGCGTTAGTCTTGGGGCTGCAGCCAAGATGGGAGCCCAGGACGGGAGGAAAGACTCCCTCCAAGACTGCCTGGAAGCCCTGGCAGCACTGCACAGAGGGAGAACGCCGGCCCCACTCGCCAGAGGCGTGATGTCATCTCCGGAGGAAAGCACACCACTAGCTCGCGCGCGCGGGGGGCGGCCCCCCGAGCCTCTGGGCGACGAGGCACGGCCCTGGCAGTCAGCACGGGGGGGCAGGGTCCCGAGGGCAGCGGGCCCTGGCCCCCAGAGGGCCTCCCCTTGGGACCAGCTCTGCCTCCTCCGCCGCTTTCTCGAGCGGCCCCGGGGCCCGTGGAGAGCCCTGGGAGCCCGACAACCACAAGAAAACTCAGGACCCGTTTCCCTCGGGCCCCGTATCCCCAGCGGCGAGGCCAGCTCCCAGAAGCCTCGGCTCAGGAATGCTGCTCCTACTGGGCGCGGCCCGCAGGCCCCCAAGACAGCCCCAGGATCGCTCCAAGGGGGCTCCAAGACCGCCTGGCAACCGCTCATGAACGAGGATGGATGGATGACAGGACCCGAGATAGCCCCGAGGTCGCCCCAGCTGGTCCTAGACAGCCCAAGACGACAGCAGAATCGAGACAAAATCGGACCGCTGTCCGCCACCGTGCTTCTGTCACGAGATGGAGCGCCCCAAGGCTCATGCAGCACGGAGAGGTAGGAGGCTGTGCTGCTGCTGCGGCCAACAGTGCAACTCTTTATAAAAGCCCGCAGCAGCCGTTTCCCAGGCCGTCCTGGCGCGACCCGGGGCTTCCCGGGCGGCCTCCCAAGAGTTCTGGGGTGTTTCCTGCAGGTCCTCTGGACGCTCCGCCCAGAGTGGTCCAAGAGAGCCCCGACTCGCCGAAGCATAGCTCAAAGACGTTGTCAACACAGGGAGCTCAAAAAAACTTGCACTCTAAAAACATACAGCTCTAGGTTGCCGCGTAGATATCGCAGCCCGGAGGCGGGGCAAAGAACAAAACCAAGAATTTCAAAAACAAGAGCCGGCGCCACGGCGTGGCATGTAACAAAACAAAGTTTTGTCTAGCAATTCAACGCGCAACAAATCATTGCGGCCGTGCAGGCCGGTAGTGCGCTGGGGGTTACCCTGCTGGTCGTGGAGTGTTGTGCTGGGGACCTGTGCTGCGGGGTTGTGCTGAGGGGTTGTGCTGAGGGTCGTGCACACAGATTGTGCTGGGGGGTTTTGCTGGACGTTGCGCTGGGGGGGGTGCTGGGAGGTTGTGCCCGGGATTGTGCTGGGGAGTTGTGCTGGGGGAATTGTGCCAGGGGGTTGTGCTGGGGGAGTTGTGCTGGGCTTTTGCTGTGGAGAGTTCTGCTGGGAGTGATTGCTGAGGGGCTTGTGCTGAGAGGTTGTGCTGGGGGGTTGTGCTGGGGGGTTGTGCGGTGGGGTTGTACTGGAGGGTTGTGCTGGGGGGTTGTGCTGGAGAGTGTGCTGGGGTGTCGTGCTGGGGGGGTTGGTGGGGAGCTTTCTGGGGGAATTGTGCATGGGGGTTGTGCTGGGGGGTTGTGCGGGGGGGTTGTGCTGGGGGGTTGTGCTGGGGGGGGGGGTGCTGGGGGTCTTATGCCGGAAGTTGCTGGGGGGTGTGCTGAGGGGCTGCGCGGGGGTTGTGCTGGGGGACTGTGCTGGGGGGGGAGGGGGGGTGCTGGAGGTTGTGATGGGGGTTGTGCTGGGGGCTTGCGAATGAGGGGTTAAGCCGGGGTGATGTGGGTGCGCTGGGGTGTTGAGCTGGAAAGTTGTGCTGGGGGCTTACGTATGCTGGGGGGTTATGCCGGGAGGCTATGCTGGGGGTTGTGCAGGGAAATTTTGCTGGCGGTTTGTGCTGGGGGTCGTGCAGGTGGGCCGTGCTGGGGTATGTTGCTGGGGGGGGTTCTGCTGGGGGGTTGTGCTGGGGGGAGGGTGTGGGGGGGTTGTGCTTAGAGGTCTTGATGGGGGGGTGCGCAAGGGGGGGTGCTGGGGAGTTGTGCTGGGGGGTTGTGCTGGGGGGTTGTGCTGGGGGGTTTGCTGGAGGGTTGTGCGGGGGGAGGGGGTTGTGCTGGGGAGGTGTGCTGGGGGCTGCGCTGGGGGGTTGGTTGTGCTGGGGGTGGTGCTGGGGGCTGCTCTGAGGGGTTGTGCAGGGGGTTGTTCTGAAAGGTTGGGCTGGTGGGCTGTGCTGGGGGGGGGTTGGCTGGGGGTTGTGCTGGGAGGTTGTGCTGGGGGGTTGTGCTTGGGGGTTGTGCTGATGGGTTATGCTGCTGGTTGTGCTGGGGTGTTGTGCTGGGGGTTGTGCTGGGTGGTTGTGCTGGGGGTTGTGCTGGGGGGGGTGCTGGGGGTTTGTGCTGGGAGGTTGTGCCAGGGGGTTGTGCTGGGGGGTTGTGGCAGGGGGTTGTGCTGGGGGGTTGTGGCAGGGGATTGTGCTGCGGGGCTGTGCTGGGGGATGTTGCTGGGCGGTTGTGCTGGGGGGTTGTGCTGGGAGGTTGTCCAGAGGGGTCGTGGTAGGGTGTCTTTGCAGGGTAAGTTATTCGGTGATGGTGCTGGGGGTTGTGCTGGAGTGTAGTGCTGGGGGGTGTTGCTGGGGGGCTGTGCTGGGGGGTTGTACTGGATGATGGGGGGGTTGTGCTGGGGGGTTGTGCTGAGGGGTTGTTCTGGGGGGCTGTGAAGGGGGGTTGTGCTGGAGGGTTGTGCTAGGGGGGTTGTGCTGGGATTGCGCTGGGGGTTGTGGGGGGGTTGTGTGGGGGGGGGGGATTGCTGGGTGTGTTGTGGCTGGGGGTTGTGCTAAGGGGTGTGCTGTGGGTTCGTGCTGGAGGCTTGTCGTGCTGCGGGGTTACGCTGGGAAGATGTGCTTGGGGGATTATGCTGAGGGGTTGTGCTGGTGGTTGTGCGGGGGGGTTGTGCTGGGGGTTGTGCTGGAGGGGTTGTGCTGGGGGGCTGGGGGGTTGTGCTGGGTGGTTGTGCGGTTGGCGCTGTGCTGGGTTGTGCTGGGGGTTGTGCTAAGGGGTTGTGCTGTGGGTTCGTGCTGGAGGCTTGTCGTGCTGCGGGGTTACGCTGGAGATTGTGCTGGGGGATTATGCTGAGGGGTTGTGCTGGTGGTTGTGCTGGGGGGTTGTGCTGGGGGTTGTGCTGAGGGGTTGTGCTGGTGGTTGTTGGGGGGTTGTGATGGGGGTTGTGGGGGTTGTGGGTGGGGGGGTTGTGCCTGTTGTGATGGGGGTTTGTTGCGGTTTGGGGGGGGGGGATTGTTGCTGGAGGGTCTGTGCGGTGGGGTTGTGCTGGGGGGTGTGATGGAGGGTTGTGTGGGGGCGTGCTCGGGGGTTGTGCTGAGGGGCTGTGCGGTGTCCGCGATGGGGTTTTGCTGGGGGGTTGTGCTGGGTGGTTGTGCTGTCGGTTGTGCTGGGGATTTGTGTTTGTGGGTTGTGATGGGGGGTTGTGCTGGGGGCTTGTGCTGGGGGTTGTGCTGGGGGATTGTGCTGGGGGGATGTGCT